TATTGAGTTAATGGGGTGTTTGGTAAGTGGCTGTTAGTTAGATTTAGTTGATTGTAAAAAGTGTTTGGTAAATTAGCTGTTAGCTGATTACATACAAAATGACTATCTCAAAAAGCCAATTGAGAAAATTACTTTGAGCAGGATTTGAATTTTAGTATTTTGAAACAATAAGTTGTTACCAAAAGTTATTAATTAATCAAACATTTATATTGATTGTTTAACCAAGCCAAACAGCTAGTAGTGGTCAAATAAGTAACTATTTTACCAAACAGGGCCAATATCCGATTTGGTCCCTTAGCTATTAGAATTTCACAATTTAGCCATCGACGTTCAAACTTGTTCAGTTTTATTCCCAACTATGTAATTTTTACCTAAAATAGTCATTTGTCCAAACAAAAAATAGTACTGATTAGGACCATTTTGATCAACAATTGCATAATTGGAGATGAATTGAGAAAGTTTGAAAGTCGAGAATCAAAGTGGTGAAATCCTAGTAGTCAAGAGACCAAATTGAGCATTAATTCTATTTTTATTGTCAAAAATATTTATTTTCTTATTGTTAAAAAGACCTTGTGGTTAAGCGGCATAGTTTTCACCTTGCATGTTATAAGTGGCCAAGGTATTGACTTTCCATTTCTATTTCATTCCCTTCCAATGTAAATGGTGGGGTCATGTCACTTACATTAATAATTAACACGAATTTATTTAATGGAAGAAATTAGGACATTTAGATTGTATTTATTTTATATTTTCATTTTTTATTCTTCTAATTTTTCATTTTTCATTATTTTTATATTGGAGAAATTTACAAGTATACACATTCTTTGATTATATTTTTCAAGAAAAATAAAGTATTTTTTTTTGGGGTTAGTAAATGCACTCTTAAAAATAATGAGTAAGGCTGATAACTTTTATTAGAATTTAAAAAAAAAAAAAAACAAAAAAACAAAAAAAAAAAAAAAACAAAAAAGAAAGAAAGAAAAGGGACTATGTGTTGGCACATCATACTATCCTAGTGCAAGCATATGAAAAACGCAAACATTTTTTTGGTGCATCATCTTTTTTAGTTTGAGGCTTTTAATTAGTTCAAATTGAATCTGATGGTTTTTGGGTTTTCGGGCCCAAGGAGGTCCAACACAACCTTTCAGCTGGAGGATACACCTTTCAATAATTTCTATGTCTAACTCGGAGATAATGATAGTGCTCAGAATTTCTTTATTATTCTTTCCTCCTCCCGGTGCTCGAGAGTCTGTCCTTTACAAGAATGGAGGAGCCTTTATATAGTGGCTCCTCCTCTGCCGACTTGAAGGGCCTTAATGGCCGACTTCAAGGCTAATCAAGGTGTGGAGCCGTTGGAGGCCATTACTCGGTCAACCAACGGCTCTCCTGGGCTTGTAACTGCCCGACCGGGTCCTGTCTTTAATGCTTCAACGGCTCTCTTTCAAAGGAACGCCTTTAATGCCCTCAACGGTTCCTCAAGCCGGGTCCTTTCCTGGGCTTGGGCCTCGACCGACTCCTGGACTCGACCTGACTGCTCTTTGGGCTTCTCTCAATGCTGGCCCACTTTTATTTTCTTTGAGCCCCTATCTCTTGGGCCGGGGTCCTTACCCCATCAACTAGTCCCTCACTTTTCCATACCCGGTCCTCCAACCTGGGTTTGGAAAAGTAGCAACCGCTTGTCTTCTTTAATTACCGTATCCGTGCCCTTAATAGCTCCTGTAACGTCCGAATCATCAGCCATCCTCTCCGGATCTTACGGATCCGTTGGGATTCTTTCATCCAGGCTTGGCACCTATAAATGGCCTCCTTCCTTCTCTCTTATCCTCACGAGTTCATCATGGGTCGCTCTCCCTTGAAAGGGAAGCGAATTGACTTCGGGTCTCCCCGGCGTCCGCTGTCTTCTAAGCGGACTCGATCCGAGAGGGAAAGCAAGAAAAAGGCTTCTCGTCCGACTCCCGGGAGATATCCTGCTGGTGCCACCTCCTCAGCTTCGCAGCCGCCGACCCCACCTCAGCGAGAAGTCGTGGCGCCTTTGCTTCGTCCGCCGACTCCAGCAACCGCCAGGGTGACTTCTCAAGATGGATCCTTTGTGGAGGTGGCCGTCCCTGAACACTTGACTTTTAAAATGACTTTCTCCATCCCTCTGGACGACCTGGACGGGCCGGTCACGGGTCTTATGGATGACGAGGATTACGCCCGCTACCTGGAGGCGTATCCGGATGATGATGAACCCATTCCGCCGCCACTCATGCCAGCTTTCTGGGACTCATTCTGCCCCTCTCCCCCTGGACCATCGGGGGGATTCTTTGAGGGCGACACCTCCTCGCCTGGCGAGTGACCTTTGTATACCGGGGTCGGTTATGGCCCAGAGGGATCTTTTTAGGAGCATTTTCTTATCCACAATTTGTAATAAGCTCCTGGCTGCTTGTACCCTCCTTTTCCATAATAATAATAAAAGCGCTATTTTCGTCTTGCCTTGTGTTTTGTCGCGTTTTGTTGCGTGCTGGTTCGGACGACTGGTCAAGGAGTCGGTCACGTCGTCAGGCTCTTTTCAGTCTGACATCTGCAAGATTCCCCGCAGTTCGGGTAAATCCAATCCTTTTTATGTTGGCGTGCGAATCTTGCTCTTCCCGGGCGGATCTGATGGAACTAATCTCTGACAGAGATTCTCGTCATCCGTCCAATCCGGCTCAGTTACGCCAGTCTCCACCGTAATTATCGCCTAGATATTCGCCTTCCCTGGGCTATATAAAGACCCTTCTCAGTAGATGCAAATCGCAACAATCTTCATTTTGCGAAAGCACGGCGCTATGAGTCATAGGGAGGGTGACCGCCGCTGGTCCATTCGCAACAAGGAGCATGCTCGACTGGAGCGGTTGAGGCAGAAGAGGCTGGCTAACGGGGGTCGTCTGGTGGGCGACTCGGCTTCAGACCCCATCGTGGTGCTTCCGGACATGCTGGACCTGATGTGCAGAGAGTCTATCGACGTGGAGATGGAGCCTGTGGTGGAGGATCCCGGACCAAAGGTCGAGAATCCTACTCCCGAGGAGGAAGAGGTGTGGGAAGTTCCTCCGCTTTTCGGCGTGGCCATGTCGCCGAGCGCTCTGGAGAGGCCTTTACGAATGATTGACGATGGGAAGCCGGCCGTGTATCTGGACGAGATGCCAGAGCCTGAGCCGAGTCCTCTTCCATTCCGCCCCCAGTACTTCCTGGAGGGTCCTCCGGCTGCCCGCTCGTCGACAGAGAAGGAAGCCAAGCCTGTTTTCCTCTTGTAATTTGCACCGGCCGAGTCCCTGGCCTTGTAATCCCCGTGTTGATTTGAATAAATAGTGTGCTTTTCTTTTTCGACCTCGCAATTTTTACTATTTTGTCGGCCGACCTCGGATCCGCGAGATGGACCCCTAGTCTTGCTATGGCGAGATCCTCCTGTCGAGGGAGTCGCCGAGTCTGACCGCCGACCCCGCGACCGGTATTCCTTCATGAGCTCGGCCGATATCATTTGATGAGCCGGGTTCTACCGGGCCGCTTCCAGAAGCTTCCAGCTCGTATCTTGTGGGCTCAGAGGCCATGGCCCACTACGGGCTTCCGGCTTAACAGGCCGGGTCACGTGACGTTCGTCCCTAGCCTAGAGCAGACGCGCCGCCTGTGGGCTAACCCTAGGCCTGAACCGTCGCCCCGCCTTTTGAGGCATTAAATGCGGCGTCCCTTCACGTCTCGTCACCTCTAGCTCCTCCAACGAGAAGGTGGCACGTGGCCGCCCTTTGAAATTCTTGCCCTTCAAATAGCCACTTCGTCTTTCTTCGCACTCTCTTCTCCAGTCTTCCTTTTCAGTTTCAATTTCGAGCTTCTCCGGCCACTCTGTTCCTCCTCCAATTTCCTTCGCTTTTCTAGGTAATGTCTTCTTCCTCGCACTCTTCTTCTTCTCGTCGTTACTCGGTCGACAACACCGAGGCGACTTCTCCCTCTCCTTCTTCTCCTTCTTCGTCTTCTTCTTCTCCTCGTCGTATGGAACTTCCGGCGGACGTTCCATTGACGTCTTCCCTCCGTCGTACGGAATTTCCCTCGGACGTTCCATCGACATCTTCTCTTCCTCCGACCCCCTCTTCTTCGGGGGCGGTCACTCCGCTGAGCCCCGCTCCTCTAACGACGGTGGCGGCTCTGCCGGGCGGCGTTATACGTCCGCGGGGCAAGTTCGACCCAATCGTCCGCCCCTCCGGGCCACCGTCCATTGCCACTGCGGCGGATCTGGAGATGGCCCGGTACCTTCTTGGTAGTAGTAGTAGTAGTAGTAGCAGCAGCAGCAGTAGTAGCAGCAGCAGCAGCAGCAGCAGTAGTTGATGAAAAAAAAAACTTGTAATTTACACCTTTCAATTTCTATGAGGGCATTTAAGTAATTGATGTAATATAACTTAAAATATAACCTTCAACCAAACAAGTTAATGTTACATTCCTACAACTTTAACCAAACACATCAGGTAATCTTACATTCCCAAAATCTCACATTACTTACCCCCAGGTAATCCTATTACCTGGGGTAATCAAAGATTCCGTGAACCAAACGCCCCCTTAAGGTACAGAATTGCATAACATGAGACATAGAAACACATAACTCAAGACACATGCATGTTTTACAGTTTCAAGAAACAAACATGTACCGTGAATTGAACAACAAATGATCGCCTTCCAAATTAAAATTCAAAACTATGTCGTTTAGAACCAGGGTCCATAATGCATTGCAGTAATCAAACTAGACACATAAAATGGGTTGGATGTATTATAAGTTTTATATAGTTTTTAAATATATAAATAAATTTTGTATACTTGTTGTTAATAGATAAAAACGTGTGAATATTTTTGTGCGGATTAGCGCAAAAGCGTGTAATGAGAAGCAGAGCTTCCAGCTAACGTTTGTGGAAGAGAAAAGTAAAACGACAGACATCTCACAAAATTCGTAAGACCTCAAATTTTGACTTCCATCCTCTATATATATGACCCAAAGCACATCTTCTATCGTCATCTTAATTACAGGAATAAATCCAATCTAATCCTTAAAATAATGGAGATGTCTTTGCGGCCATCTCCGATCTTTCTCTTCTTTCTCGTCTCTGCTTTTCTCTTCATCCATGGCGTCCGCTCCATAGGTGTTAACTATGGAACCCTGGGCGACAACCTCCCGCCGCCGACGGAAGTCGCCAGATTCCTCAAGGAAAAGACGGTCATCGACCGCATCAAGATCTTCGACGTCAACCCCGACATTCTCCGGGCGTTCGCCGGCACCGGAATCCTGGTCACCGTCACCGTCCCCAACGGCGAGATTATCCCCCTCAAGGACGCCGGATACGCCGCCCAGTGGGTCGCCGCCAACATCAAGCCGTTCTACCCGGCCACGAAGATCAACATCATCGCCGTCGGCAACGAGGTTCTCCACTGGGGCACGCCGGAGATGCAGAACGGCCTCGTCGCCGCCATGAGGAGCTTGTACAACGCCCTGGTAAAATCTGGGATTAAGGAGATTAAGGTTTCGAGCCCGCATTCTTTGGGGATAATGTTGCGGGCCGACCCGCCGAGCATGGGCCGGTTCAGGCCGGGTTGGGATGTCGGCATTCTCGCCCCGATGCTCAAGTTTCTCCGGGAAACTAACGGGCCGTTTATGGTTAACCCGTATCCGTACTTCGGGTACGCCCCGGATAAAGCGGATCTGGCCTTATTCCGGCCGAACAAGGGATACGTGGACCGGTTCTCCCGGCGGACGTACGGAAACATGTTCGATATGCTTCTGGACGCGGTTTTCATGGCGATGAAGCGCGTGGGGTACCCGGACGTGAAGATAATCGCGGCGGAGACGGGGTGGGCGTCGGCCGGAGAGGTGTACGAGCCGAAGTGCACGGTGGAGAATGCGGCGTCGTACAACGGCGGGCTGATGAGGAAGTACGCCTCCGGCAAAGGTACGCCGTTGATGCCCCGGTCCAAGATCGAGACCTATATTTTCGCATTGTTTAACGAGAATCAAAAACCCGGTTCGAAAGCCGAGAGGAACTTCGGCCTTTTCCGACCGGATTTCACCCCGGTTTATAATGTCGGAATCTTGAAAGCCCAGCCGGCTCCGGCTCTCCCCCACCCTCGCCCGAATCCTAATCCCCAGGTAACACTCAAATAAAACTTAATCCTTTATTTTCTAATATTTATTTATACATTTTTCTCAAATTCATATAATTTTTTTTTCCCAATTTTTAACGTTATTGGTACTAGTACTAGAGATCTATGCCCCCTGTTTAGTTTCATAGAACATAGAACCTAAGTAGAGTTGTGTAAGTAGTGGCGCACATGGGTCGGGTTGGAATATATGGTATGATATAATGGAGCCCTACAAGATTCTCGTGATTGGAAAATGACAACTTTGATAATGCACCATTGCACGCTCGTCATTACGACCTTGCGTTAAATTCAAAAAAAAAAAAAATTAATTTAGGCCTTTGCATTATCTTATTAAAAATTTATTATTTTTGAATTTATTTTAATAATTTTAAATAAAATAAATTAAAAAAAAAAAATTCCCACCCTTCTGTATTTTTGTCTCTGGCCTAGAGATGATGAAGAGGGTGTGTGATTTTTTGTTCATGTTTTTGTTTGAATTTATTAAAATAAATTAAAACTAATAAATTTTTTGTTTTAAAAAAAAAAACTAATAAATTTTTAATAGAATGATTGTCACCTTAGTGATGATTTAAGGAACATGTCAAATTTTATTGAATTGTATAATTTTGGACAATTTAGAAGCCTAATTACTTTTTTTTTTTTAAATGGATAACTCCCATTGCACTTTTGTATGTAATTCAGTGGTTAATTTGAATTTTTTTCTTAATAATATTTCTCGGAAAATTTGTAGTTCAGCGACACATAAGTATTTCAAAATCAATTTTTTTCGTAATATTAAAAACAATAAAAAATATTTATTATTATTATTATTATTATTTTTATTTAGGAAATTCTTTGGAGATCCATTGATTTCTTTATGTGCACTTTATGATATTCTTGGATGCTTTACTTTGAATGCTGTTGTCTGGCCTAAATATTCGCACCCTTTTCTTTACTTTAAAACGGTCATCTTGAACATGATTGACTAGACTTGCCCATGAAACCGTGTCCGCCGCACTTCAAAACCCACATTAATAATATATAATGTATTAATGTAACCTACCACCCCACTCCCAATTATTTTGTTACCCACTACAAAGTTTTATATTCTTTCCAAAAATTGAATTCCCAATCCCAAGTGTCCCCGAATCCTGACCCGACACAGCATCTTATATATATATATAAGAGAGAGTTCAAATGAGAATATAAAGTGAAGACTGATTTGATACATCTATTTAGTATATCAATCATCGATAGTTAGTCCTTGAGAAACAAGGAAAGAAAAACATGGTTAGTTTTTGTAATCGATAGTTAGTCCTTGAGAAACAAGGAAATAAAAACATGGTTAATTTTTGTACACATTATTGTATAATTTGGTGCTTAAGTTTCAAAATTATATGAGTTTAATTTATCTTTTCATAGGTTTGGGGGTTGGTTCTGACAAAATTTATTATATAATATGGAAACTTCATAACTTTATATTTATATCTATAAAAAATATGGACACATCACACATCATAATAAAACTAGATAAGACTTCGTACTTCGTAGTTGTTTGAGATAAGTATTAAAATTCACTAATATTTTTAATAAATAAATAAATAAATTAATTAATTAATATTTCCATGCTGCAGCCTAAGCCTAAGCCAACACCGGGACGAACAGGCAAATTCTGCACGCCAAAAGCCGCAGCAACAGATGCGCAACTCCAAGCCAACATAAACTACGTCTGCGGCCAAGGCGTGGATTGCCGGCCGATCCAACCTGGCGGCGCGTGCTTCAACCCAAACACCGTCCGTTCTCACGCTGCCTACCTTATGAACACTTTCTACCAGACCAAGGGCCGTCAACCCTTCCAATGTGACTTCTCCGGCACCGCCACCATAACCTCCACTGATCCAAGTAATATATATATATATATATATATATATATATATATATATATATTCTCTGTTCCATCTTACTATATATATACTCTCTTCGTCCGTTTTGTGTCGGGTATGGTTAAACTGAAGTTATTTACAATTAAACTCGATTAATGGTTCAACTTATTCTTGGTGTTTTTTCCTTTTCAGGTCACGGTTCTTGCAAATACCTATCTTGATGGATGCATGCCGCATGGGCGGGGAGATGGAGAGTGAGGAATAACCAGTTTGGAGGATTAGGTTGTTGATGACACAATGAAGTATTTATCCATTTGTTGTCATGGCTAATTAATATATGCAATACAATACTCCGATGATGATGATGGGTAGTCTAAATGCAGATATGCATATGGTTGCCTGGTTTATCCTAGTATGTCGGTGTTTGTGGTGTACGAGGTTAGATCAGTTGGAACTTCATTGTCTCGTATGTAATTTAACTTTAATTTGCATATTCATTATATTGTTGAATTGAATGACGTTTTATGTTGTTGTACGCTTGAGGAAGATGGAGACGTGTATACAATCCTCGTGCGATTTGTGTCTACTCACTTTTTTTTTTTTGATACATACTGATGGGGATTATCCCGGCAACCTGCTTGTCGTATTTTGGTCGGATTCGGGCTCCCGACAAAAGGGGAGTCCGACCCGACCGTCGTCCACCTAAAGTGAGTGACTTCCTAGCCTAAAACCACGTCCAGTTTGGGATAGATAGTCTAGTTCGACTGAAGAGTAATAATAGTTATTTCTGTTCGACCTAGGCAGGTCGGGACGGGCTACCGACTTGATTCCCATGGTTGAGCGTGTGGTGTCACGTAGTTGAGCCCCCTTTGGCCTCGGTTTGCACTTTTGCATGGACTCTACGTGCTGCGCATGCAAAGAGTCTAGTACAAGAGGCTAATTATTAAGCTCGGGAACCTCTGACTCACTGTCAAATATTCTGAGCTTTAAAACTTAAACCAGCAAGCAGAATAGGCAAATTATCCGAATCCGGAACCGTCCCTAGAACCATATATTGTAGTTCATACTGTCCGTATATACATCACATACATTAGGTTTTCAGCTTACACCAAACTTATTTTAAGCCTTCATAACCATGTCTAAGAATTGGTAGAAGTAATGTCGCTCAAGTAACTTCTCAATCAGTCTCTGTTGTTAATTTTGCGCACAGGAAATCGATCTTCATACTTTTATCAACTTAGAGAGCTTAACCTAGAGGGTGTGGTTGAGTAACAAGGATTCACTCATCTTTAATCAAATGTCAAGAGTTCGATCATTGACTTTTGGTATAAATCGCTGCTCCAAGATGTTGGTGGTAGTAGAGCTCCCACCTATCGCTGGAGTGGTATGTTCACCTGTATTGAAACAATAAAACTAGTCATTGCGCTTTGGGTGATAATCCTAGTTGACAATGCCAATAAGTAGCTCTTACGATGATCTAAATTTAAAATTTTATAATTATTTAATTAACTGTTTAATCAATTTGACTGAAGTTGTGCACGAAAAACTCTACTTCATCTCATGTTCACAAGTGTCGTTAGTGCAGTGTTTTGTCACATGTTATTGCCACTTTGCCAGATGTAATGAAAAAGAAGGATGTGTTGGTTGGCATGGAGTTGAAACAGCGCTTTCTTTGGCCCACTAACGTTGTCACATGCCAATCTCACTACTACACAGCAGGCTTTTAACGTCGACTAAATAGACCTTTTAATGTCGGCTATGATCCGTAGTTGTTGCGGGCGACGTTGTAAATATTATCTATAACGTTGGCTATTTATATAGCCGACGTTATATATTATTTTAAAAAAATAAATAAATAAAGTTTACAACGTCGGCTAATAGCATTTAGCCGACGTTGTATGGTTTTTTAAAAAATAATTAAAATACTTACAACGTCGGCTAATAGCATTTAGCCGACGTTGTAGGTATTTTAAAAATAATTAAAACACCTACAACGTCGGCTATTAGCAATTAGCCGACGTTGTAAGTATTTTAATTATTTTTAAAATACCTACAACGTCGCATTTAGCCGACGTTGTAAACTTTATTTTTTATTTTTAAATATATTCAACGTTGGCTATTACTTAATAGCCGACGTTGTAAGTTTTTTTTTTTTTTAATATACAGTTTATTTGTCCATTTATACCCAAAAACCTGCTCAAATCTACTCACAACCACAACCTAAACCTGCTCAATTTCTCACAACCACAACCACAACCACAACCTAAACCTGCTCAATTTCTCACAACCACAATCACAACCTAAACCTGCTCAATTTTCACAACCGCAACCAAAACCTGCTCAATTATTGCACCACAACCACAGCAAAATATGTAGAATCTAATATTTATAATGAAACAAGTAATAAAAGTAATGAATCTCACAATTTGATACTAATTAATAATACAACTTAACATTATCAAAAGCTAATATCAATTTGTTTAATTTACATACTTAACCATACATCAACAAAGAAGTTGGCCCATACATCTCTTACTTGATCAATTTCTTGTTGAGTGTAGCTCGATCTACCAACTCTCTCAACAATCTACAAAGTTGATAATTATTAAATAATTAGTAAGCTAGCATTTTTAAAATTAGAAAAAGAAAGGTATTATATTAAATTACATGCCTTATCCATTCCCGCACATGCTTCTTTGGAAAGAATTTCAAGCATGTATTTCATCACATAATATCCACATGCCGTACTTCCAACTTGTTGAGCACACTACATTTGAATTAAATTACATTTAAAATTTTATTTAATAAAAAACAATAAAATATATGTAGTTTTACAAATGTATAAAATACTTACCAAAACCTTAGTCCATTTTGGTGAACGAGTTGATCCATTGCTTCTCAACAACTTTGCTGAATTGACACACCTAAAATTATAAGAGATTAGTTTACATAAATACTTTATACTTTACTAATTATACATATTAATACTTATAAGTTCACATACTTTTCAACAATATCTTTGATGTCATCACGTGGCTGGCCTCCAATTGAATCAAACCAATAGATTTCATTAAGTTGAGGACAAATTGCCATCAACATCCAATGATCACTACAAATCAATAATATATTAGTTGTAAGTAAATATAATATATAATAAAAGTGTATTATATATAAGTTATTTTATTTTAAACAATTAAAACTTACTTTAAAATATATGGCGCTAGATAGCATTGTTTTTGGCCATATTGCATGGTGACGTTGATATACCCTGTCCGTTCATCTATAGTATTTGAAACTGGTTGAATGAAATGCGGATCTAAGAAGCCATATGTGGTCTTTGATGCCAATTCAAATTTGTCATAAAGACCCCTATTCAAAAATACAATCAATCATATATATCAGTAATATAATAAATGAATGAAAAATATTATATAAACAAATATAAGTAAAGAACTTAATTATTACCTTATAAAGAACTGCAATATGGAAACATCTAATGTCTCCATCCTTAAGAAACGCATAATCTCCAACGGGTCAAGTTGTAAGCGATAGTCAACATCGCCCACAATACCACGCTCCATCTTTATCACAACATTTTCATCAAGTTTGCGAATAATTCTATATACCTTTAGACATCGAGGACTCAAAGAAGACGTATCAGCTATATTCAGATCAGCAAAAGGTCGTTGCACACCGGAATCATAAGTCTTTTGTACCTGTTCAATATAACTAACAATTACTATTTTTAAAAAGTAAATTAAACACTATTTTAAAATCCAAAATTTTTTAAAATACATACCTCATCACCTTCGGTATACAACTCAACCAACTTCTTTGGCCAAATAATAAAGTTGTGCAATGCATCCCTTAACAGTTGAACCTCATCGGTAGGGAAGGGTACACTTGCACTTGACACGAGAATTTCAGTCACGGTGACCTTCACTTGATCCGCATGTATTTGTATCCATGGACAAAAAATATGGAAGATCAAAAAATATGGATTTCTTTTTCTATGGACTCTTTTCATTTGGAGGTACCTCAACATTAGCTCTTGACCTCTTACCTCTTTGAGATTTAAGCTTTTGAGTTTTACCAAAAGTAACATTTATACCTTTTACACGTTCATAAACTTCAATCCCAGTCATTGGTTGTGGAGCATCTGTATAGTCTTGTTGCCCATTGAAAGCCTTTTTTAATCTCCTGTAAGGGTGAGCTCTATCAAGAAACCTCCGGTGACCCAAGTAGACTATCTTTCTGCCATGGACAAGTTGTGTATAACATGTATTATCTTCACATATAGGGCATGCCTTATGTCCTTTGACACTATACCCAGCCAGGTTTCCATAAGCTGGAAAGTCATTGATTGTGCAAAAAAGCATAGCATGCAACTTAAAATTCTCTTTCCGGTAGGCATCAAACACTAACACGCCTTCATCCCACAATTTTTTCAAGTCATCAATCAAAGGTGCCAAAAAGACATCTATATCATTACCGGGTTGTTTTGGGCCAGAAATCATCAAGGACAGTAATATATATTTGCGTTTCATACACAACCAAGGAGGTAGATTATAAATCACTAACATAACTGGCCACGAGCTATGCTTGCTACTTAGGTTCCCGTGAGGGTTTATACCATCTGTACAAAGGCCAAGTCTAAGATTTCTGGACTCATTGCCAAATTTAGGAAAAACATTATCAAAGGTTTTCCATTGAGTAGAATCAGCTGGGTGTCGAAGCTTTCCATCAGAAATTTTTTGATCTGCATGCCATGTTAAGTTTTTCGCGTCGCTTGGATTTGCAAACATACGCTTAAATCTTGGAAGAATTGGGAGATACCACATAACTTTAGCTGGTGGCCCTTTCGAACTTGCCTTACCAACAACATGCTCTCTTATTTTGTACCGAGATGCCCCACAGATGGGACATGCATTCAATTCTTTGTAATCATTCCTAAACAATATGCAATCGTTAGGACAATCATGTATCTTTTCATACTCCATACCCATGGGACACATAATCTTCTTTGCATCATATGTACTCTTCGGGAGTCCATTATCTTCTGGAAGCATATCGTTTATTAAATCAAGTAAAGTAGTAAAGCTCTTGTCGCTCCATCCATTCCCAGCTTTTAAGTTGAATAATTTCAAAACAGCAGATAAGCGAGTATATTTACTACAACCGGGCCATAAAGGCTGTTTTGAATCATTTAATAATTCATCCAACTCATTTGATCGATTTGTGAACTCTTCTCCAACATCACGGAACATTTCGTCCAACCTATCTTCAGATTCATCATCTTCATTTGCTTCGTTGTCAACATACATGTTAGATGTACTAGTCTCTCTCCCTCCTTCACCGTGCCATATCCATTTTGTATAATTTAGATTAATTCCATCACAAATTAGATGATCATATATGTCCTTGGCACTTAATAGTTTTAGATTACAACACTTCTTACAAGGACACCAAAATGTTCCATCATTATTTGGAAGATGACATTTTGCAAACTCTATAAATTCTCTAACTCCGGCATCATATTCCGTACTCAATCGAGAAGCTTTCATCCAACTTTTATCCATCACAAGT